TTTTGAGTTCGTGGCTCGAATCTCGAGAGCACTCATCGTCAGTTTGCCTCTAGACCCATGTTCTACGATGCGAACGCAAGGCACACCGAACTTACCAGCAAGGCCCCTCACAAAGCTGAAAATGCTGTCTTCGTGGATCGAATCATCCTGAGTGAAACCGTCTCCAATCAAAAGAAGATTCAGCAGCGAAGCACCAGCCACTTTCTTGGCACTGAGAGGTCCTGATATCACCGATAAAGCTCGGTTCAGCTTATGTGTCGTTAGATCATCTAGATTGACACGCTCTTTAGACTCCTGAATGACATGGCTGCTGGCGGTTAATTTGTCATAGGCATCTCGAACTATCCCGCGCGCGGTACCCTGGGCTTCGTGCGGAAGGCACGCAAGGCGCAATAATAGCCTAAATAGAATTTGACGTTTTGGCGCAAAATATTCACATGGTCTGGGTTTCTGACCCGTTGACGAAGCAAGATTCACTTCCTTCCACGAGGGGGATTGAAATAATCCCGCTCGCTTGCATGAGCTCGGGAAGGTGACCCAAGGCATTTCAAGGTGGCCGAGCTCTGACAGACTCGCTGTCAGGATCTCAGCAAACTGCGCCATGAACGCCTTTGCGTAGGTGGGGAGTTTCGAAGGCTGCGATGGTGATTCCATGCCTCCATCCGCCAGTAGCTGCCATCGTCTTGACGTGGAGACTGCATGATTCAGAGCAGTGGCTTTAGTAAACGTGTCTCCTAGCGCAAGGTCCATGGTGACCAATTTTCTTTGGATGGCACAACATCGGAAAATTTCTATGGTAAAGAGAGAGATCGATTCATGGGGTAACGCACAAATGGCATTCTCGAGAAACGCAATCAGTATTCCCTTTTCTAAGCTAGCTGAGGTGTCAGTAGCCGTTACGGGTCTACTATGCTTAGTAATTAAATCCCTAAAATTAGACAGAAATATCCCAGTAGAAACATCGACACAGGCCTTAAATGACGATATCAGCATGGAAACATTAGCAGTCGCTAAATGTCCCGCCGCCCCGACTGCCCCCGCGGTAAAAGCAGCACGCAGCTCATTGGTCCTCAATAATGCTGCATGGTTTCTTGTTAAAGTTGACGACTTGACAAGCGCATCATCAAGTTCCTTGACAAGACTGAAAACCTGACTAGTGTTGACCGCTGGTGACGCATGCGACTTGTAACACGGCGGTTTGCATTCAGAGTCATTGAAAACAACTCCCAGGACCCTTGCTAAAGCATTTTCTGCCACTGATACACTTGCTGTTGCTCTGCACACAGAATAGAAAGATGAATTCAACATTGTCTCAAAGTCGTGGAAGATTGTGGCAGCTGCTGATAAGCCCAACGAGGTTCTCAGACTCACATCGTCGATGAAAAAGACAATGACATTAAACATTGTTATTGCGACGTTAGTAAGCACTGTAGACGAAGTCGAAGCGACACAGTATAAGCGGAATCCAATTGTGCCGGGGAAACTGGTAATATGCACACTCTTCTGTAATGTCAAAGAATCCTCGAATACAGTCGAGTCAGAGCAACAGACAGGAATTTTGTCTACATTCATCAGTAATGAGCGTTCCCGAATGATAGAATTGCGTAGCACTCTGCGAGCGCATAGCGCTGTGGCGGGGGTAACTTCTACAAATTCAGATTCGGCCGAACACTCAGCGGAGCGGATCCATCGAGTACATATCCCGTCAGGGTCAATAATCAATGGCCATCGCAGTGAATGCACAGTCGCCAGAGCCAGGCTTGCTGTGGAAATTCCACGAGGAAGACATCCTTGGGCTCTCCAAGTTGAAACAAGCAATTCATTATCAGGGTGAGCATTGGCATATCGAAAGACAAGTCGTTCTGTCACTACATCAGCCAACTTGGCGTGTACAGCAGCTTCGTAGGGGTATGTGATTGTCGCACCATTTAGCTCGAACGAATCTGCGCTCAAACCCGTCAGATTGAGGCATCTCTTGGCTGCAGCACACGTTGATAAGCGTCCCTGAAGCGAATGTTGCCCAGTGGCTAAGCGGACATCGATGGCGTGCATCATTGCATCTGCAAACAATGACTGAATGCGCTTGTCAATGAGACCTAGTTGCCTCGACCAGTCGGCAGCTTCGATTGACAGCAAACATAAGATTCGCTCCGTGGTAGTGGCACCTGAACTGTCGGAGGGTAAATCAGGCATCTCGAGTGGCAGAGCTTCGACGAGGCTTTGGTAGCCATCCGAAGCTGTCAAAAGACCACGGCGCCGAGATTGCAGGCCTTGGTACCAATTCATTGCGATCGTTGGTGTCGAATCTGCGACATCCATCAAGAGGGACGGTAGCGTTTCCTTTGATGGCATCGTGTCTAATGCTGCAAAAGCAGCACAACAAAGCGAAGTTATTTCATTTACAGGCACTGTCATGAATTCGGTATCAAGCTGCAGCTGCGCCAGGCGTCGCCGGAGGACATGCTCCATGCTCGCCACACATTTATCGGCTTGGTCCAAACAATGGTAATTCATTTGGAACAGTGCAGCAAGCGCCGGATAGCCAAGTCGAATGTGTTGCAACAAGCTGGCGTGTGAATCTGACTCTAACGCGATTGCGATAGAAACGGACCTGAGAGTGCTGGCCGCGATAGCAGAGCGGATAGAAACAGGAAAGTTACCATCAGTGTATTCAGAAGAGCAAGCTCCGACACAAGTTACGCTACCTTCTCTACCAGCTAGCAAGGATGATGCCGCGTGAAATGCATCTTTAATCTCTTTGTCTGTGGCCTTGGAATATGCGCTAAACAGCTTTCCATCGACATCACCATCCCGGACTATCGCCTGTAGAACATCAAGTGAAATGTTCAGGTTGTCGGTGGACCCTAGTTGGAATACAGATCGTTCACCGGATCGACAAGCGGCTAAAGATTCGTCGTTTATTAAGACGACAATCTTGCTTGTTTTTCTCCGTGGACCATTTGGATCATGAGCGGCGGCCTTTGCCGCCGTCAAAACGGCATGACGAAGAGCAACCAAAATATGTTTGCCAAACTCTTCTTCATTACTAGCCCCGCGTGCTACCACGAGCCCTAATCCAGCTATGTGTGAAGCAAGACTGATCATCGCTGGTCGTTGGTCTCCAGGTTTGCCAATCAAGAACATATGCCTTTGTCGGTGAAGGGCGTGTAGGACGCCTGCGACTCTCAGGGCACCATCGCCTGCAATCAGTGTGTTCTTGTTCACAGGTGGAACGCGCCCGATGGAGTCCTCCCCAACTTCGCTGTGTTGTATTCCTTGAGTCGATGTACTGTGAGATGACGCATGAAAGTCGAGTATACTGCGCAGTTGGGTGGCGCTGCGACATATTTCACGACGACTTTTTACATCTATAGGATCGTCGAACCCAGTCTTCATGACCTCACCTTGTTGTTGATGGGATTGTGGGAGATCAACAAACACTAGGGGGCGCTCAGGATCACGAAACAGGGCCTTGCAATCCCAGGCAGAACCACCAACATTAAAATGGTAGGCAGTTATTGACGCGAGGCGTTCCTCAAGAATGATCTGTTCTCGTTGAGATCCTAATGGATCTCCCAGTACTCTACGGCATTCGTGGAGACACAGGGAAGCTAATGACGTGGGATTCAGAGAAGCCGACTTTCTTAAAATGTCATGGTTCAGTCTTGCCCCGGCTGCAATACCTCCAATAATCCGTACAACGTCATGTAGACCTCGCAAAGCACCGCATGGGCGAGATGGAACTGGTGGGAGGACCTTAGCGGTACTTAAAATGATATCACTAAGTGTCTCGGTAACTAGTAGGCCCGCTGTGTGATTCTCGGTGCTCTGCATGGCAGCTTGTGTATATGGTGCGAGTATTGCGCGAAGTGAACTTTCATCAAGCGATCCAAGTTCATATATCCAGAAATGCCGTTTGAAACGCTCCGATAAGAGTGGTCCCGCCACTGGTGCTGTTGCAAGCAAGCGTAGCGGCTGTCGTAGAGGCTTCCACGACGAGATGGCACATCTCATGCACAACTCGGGGTCTAGCGTGGCCGAGCAGAAAGCTATCGAAGGCGCGCATGCAGCACCGCAATGGCTCATGAGGCCGCGGATCAACTCACGAGGGCAATCCCCACACCCCCTTGGTGTCCCTTGGCCAAACCGGGGCACTGATATGTCGTCGATAAATATGGAAAGCGCACAACTTCGTCCTTTAAGGCCAAAGGAAGCCAGCTGGGCATGCAGTTGAGTAGCGGTCACTGCTGCACAGATAGACACTGTTAATTTGGACTCACTCACAGGCATTGATGATGCGTCGATCCTGGCTTTGGGTTTCCCAGTAAAGCGAATTTAGCTATTGTTGTTTTATGAGGGCCCAATAGAAGAGCCCCGATGCGCTGGGATCCACAAGAAGCGGAGTTGAGCAACTTAGAGGCCCGGAATTGCGCTGATGAACCAACTAAAATGTGAGATGGGTCTACGAGCCCAATACTGCTTTGAGTTGAGAGTGTGCTTGGCCAATGAGTCCAACGGACCTTCACAATGCTTTGTTTGAAGTAGTTCTCATCTATTGTGGGGGTGCCTCTTGGGGGGTCCACTTCTTTTACATCTGTGATAGGTGCTATTGGCACTACCTCGTCTTCAGTGCCATGCGTCATGGACCCTGCAAATGCGAGATCGAATCCTGGCGGTAGATGCCCCCTCGTCAAGCTCGGACCCTGTACCTGAAGACTTGATGCTTCCTCGGCAAAGAGCATGCTAAAATCAGATGGCGATATACCCCCAATTTGATCCGCACTAAACGACTTGGAGACTAATCTCTCCGCATCATTCCCGGGGAAACTTTTTTTAGTTTGCTCAATAAGCACTATTGCTGGCCAAAAGTCGAAAATAGATGCCAAATTTTTTCCTTCTGCTGGAAGCTTGGCGCTCTGGGTCAGGTCCTCTGCTATTATGCATGCTTGCAGAGCTGCTTCAAGTCTCGTTCGCAAAGGAATATTGTCCACCACACAACTGCCAAGTGCCCATGCTGTGGCAAACACAAAAAGAGGGTCAATCAGGCAGGCCACAGTCGATTCGTGACTGCGGGGACCTTTTTCCAGCGCGGATGATGCAGCCAGAAGTATAGGGCTCAGAGCTTTTGGATTTATGTCCAACAGAATCGTGTCAAAATGATTCGCGAGAGAGCGCACTGCCGTCTTGGGGGGTGGAGGCGAGATGTGCATTCCCAGGGACATCATCTCATTGAGCTCGTTGAGCATCGGACGAAAAACACACTGAAGCAGGTCAAGGAGCCGACTGCGAAAGGACGACAACAGTTTTTGCTCTTCTGCAATAGACTCGCGACTAGGCAAGGTGACACCTTGACCCTCGCCTGCATCGGAATCAGGCCCCTTCGATTTGATTTCAAAAAACCCTGTACACGCGTTTGTTGCCCAGGCACATCCCAGCTCGTACCAACTTATGACAGTTTCATCCACATGGAAGAGATTGAATAACACCAAAGTTGACGGGGCTAGTCCAGTATGTGTGCCGCACTCTACCAGGAGTCGCATCTGGGGACCGCATAGTATATGTTCGCCAGACGCCAGCTGAACAGTATTGCATCTATTCACGATGCTACATTCTCCAGCAGTGTGAGTCCACAGGTCGCCGAAGATCAACGGCGCACAGATCACTTCAAGCTGCGATGCGCTCCCAGTATCAGTACCTACATCACCTGTCACACAAGAATGCGGGAATAGATTTGCACCGTCGACATCAAAGAGAACCCAGCGAGCACCAGCTGCGAACCCACATTTTGCAGCGTCGGAAACTGGCAGGTTGATTTGAGGCCCCGATACCATAGATGCTGCCCGCATCATAGCACTAGCAGCACCATCTCTCCATGTTCCATCAGGCAAAAACGAACCCCAAAGATGTTCAACCGGCAATGCATTGGTGGCGACGATTGATAACAGTGGTCGAGCAATACCCTTGGGTCCCTCCTCGACCCCATGTGAAGCAGTAGCAAGGGCAGCAGCGGCAAACGATAGAGTAGTCTTGCCTGATCCAGGATCACCGATGAGTCCAACCATGCCTGCTGTCTTACTGCTGTTGTCTTGGCGATTGAGAAGCGCATCGTGTAAGCGCCTGGCCTGGAAAACAAAGTCTCCACTCGGTGCGAACTTCCATCGCAGTGGTGCCAAAGCTGCCAGAGCTGACCAGACCGTCTTGGTGTCGTCCTCAAACGGTGATTCCTGCACCTGTTGCTGCGGGCAAAAAGTGGGGACGTTGTACGCTTCTGAAAAAATGTCGTGGAGCAAGGCATCGAGGGCACTAGTATCGAGAACCCTGGAAAACATTCGCAAAATCTGAGCTCGTAGTTTTGCAATGACGATGGCATGAGGGTGGTCACGTGATACTCGAGACAAATCTACTAAATGTAAAGACTCATTATCGCCTGACCATTTACTGAGACAATTGAGTATTTGAGCGAGTCCATGAACAGAGCCTAATCCAGTACATGACTGGGTTGAAGAGACTACAAGCCCGGGCAAGCATGTCCAAAAAGATGCAATACGGCGACCTAACGGCTCAGCCCTTTCAATACCATGCACATTCAAATGGAGTATAACAGTGCGAGCTATGTCTGGCGTAGCAGCAGCGAGAGATCGAAAGGCACTACCGTGGAGATCTTGTGAGCAGTAGTTGTGTGTGATTTGCTCGGAACAGAGGGTAGTTACAACGATGCGGGGAAATCTATGACCACAGCTTGTTTCTGTCAACCGGGACTTGTTAAGGACTTCAGTTATAGCTGCCTCAAATATCACCAGCGCATCGCAGCCCAAAGTGTCTAGACCACAAAAGCAGCCCCAGTGTGTGTGCGTATGTGCGACACATCGCAACAGTTGAGAGCACGCCCATGGGAGCACATCGGAAGTCTCACTGTTCATTGCCATGCCGGCCGTCGTGCAATCAACGGAAAAAAAAGGCTCACCAATAATGGCTGCAAAAGAAGCCGCTGTAGACGCCAGTTGACGATTGGTACTGACCCCACTACCAGTCAAGCGCACTCCGAAGCCAGAATTGACTAGAGTCAGGAGAGACAGCCAGCAACGTTCACTCGCTTGAGTCACCAGCAATCGAGCATGAGCAGCGCCAACATACTCCAATCCATATTGAATTGGATGAACTCCACCTAAGCAAATCATAATTTGTTCACAATCTTCCAAGGGGTCCAATATATCTTCCGTCGGTTCGACGCTGCGCCCGTGGGCTCGTGGAGCGTGCTCTTCTGATGGTGCTGATGGCCCTGAAGAGTAACTGGCCTCAGTGGGTTGGGCGATTCTAGCGGGGCTATAGCGTGGCTCGAAGCGTAAAGTCGCCGACCAGTGGAAGTCCTCGCTTGAGCAGACCTTAAGTTTGGCAAGGTCCCGAGCAGTTTCTGCAGCGTTCGATGCTGCAAGGAGAAGCGCACTTATTGCCATGACAGCCGTCCTATTTGAGACGCCGCGCAGCGTGGTAACAATTGAAGCGCACTGCGACTCACGCTTCACCGTGACGTCAACTAGAGCACCGTGGTCATTAGATCTGAGTGCAAATTCAGTAGAACGGCACCATACCACTTGTGCTGCAATGACAATACACTGGATAGGTTGGTCCATCCAAAACTGGCTCAAAGGTGAGTTCTCCAGGGAAACTTGTTTAGAATCGGCATCCTCCTCAACTTCATTAGTGGTAGAAGGCAGTGAGCCCATAGTTTCTAATTTCAGAGCCAAACGCAGGCAGGGCTTTAACCCCTTAGCAACAGCCCGGTGCATGGCCAAGTTTAAGGCGTGTAGCCACTCCTCCAGGGCACATCTCATCTTAAAATCGAACAAAATTGATATGTGACCTCCATCAGGGGATGTGATGAGTATATCCTTGGAGATTTTTGAGCCAATGCCAAGCTCGAAGGTTGAAACAGCGGGAAAACATGATCTGATTATAGGCGAGGCTAGGGCAGCTGCATTCCCGAGAGATGTCTGTGCTATGGAAGGCAGTAAGGCATCGTCCGCGCATAGATACAATCGCGGGAAAGCTTCGCGCCGGCTCTGCAAGTGCGAGCGAATTTCATTCATCGCCATATGCAGTCCGGAGCGATGTTTCTCGAGCTCTTGCTGCTTCATGGCAGGCAACAAGGCCGCTCGCAGTACAGACGGCTCCGACGAAATGCTAGTCATGAGGTCTCTCCACCAGGGTTCTGTGTCGTTCAAAACCCTCTCAGCAACAGGAATTAGGCTTCCAAGATCAAAGGAGGTTACTCTCGAGACGCTTGACGACTCTGGGACCCGAAACTGGAATGTCAACCGTGTCAGGCCGGATTGAATCTCAGTCAATGCGTCAAGCTGCATTGCAAGTTTCACCAATGATGCGTGCCAGCCTTCGAGTTCCTCTCGAATATAGCTCACATGGGGAGACTCAAGTAGCTGTACTAGTGCAGCCATATCTTTTTGAACATCGTCCACTAGGACTTGAATACAAGCGAGAGTTGGAGCATCTTTGCGCCCATTGTAGTTAAGCACGACAAATTCTGCGCCTGCCCACGTCGTGCGGACTTCGTCCAAGGACTGGTACAGGATAGCTTCGTGAGTGGCGCGCGTTGTTATTGCTTTGATTGCGGGCAACGCCTTGATAGCGTGCCGCTCAATCAACTGACCGAGGGTCACTGAAAGACGCGCAGCATCAAGTTTGGTCAATCCAGGCGGGGCTTCTGCAAGGTCTCCTCCAGCACCGTCCCTTTGCGGAATGGCAGATATCGAGAAACCCAAGATGTCTTCCACCGCTTCTCTATGTCGATTTCTCAGGAACGGTGACCTTAGTTCTCGTATGAGACCAATGACGAGGCGGAAGTCTTCTGCCATGCCATGGTATGATACCGCAGCTTCGTTGCCACTTAGGTTATGTAAACTTGTACGAAAAGCTGAGCTATGAGTTACCAAAACATCTTCTAGCACAGCTGGGTCTAGGTCGCCGCAGCGTGCCTAGAAAAATTAGGGGGGGGGGGTACTAAAAAACAAAGAGAATGATTCACGCACCTCCATCCAAATTGTCGTTTGAGAACGCCAACTCTCGGCCGCCCGCCATAGTTGCTCTAGCGAGGATAGTGCACACATGAGCAAGATGAGATCACTCGCATCCAGGAGTTCTTGGTGCAACGCCATCTGGTAACGACGCACCTGTGCCGTCCTGGAGGCTAGATCAGCCACATTCTTAGATACTTGCTCTAGGTGAGCGAGTGCATCGGTGGGGTCTTGGGTCGGGTGTGCAAGGAATTCATGTTCGAGCCTAACAGTTAGGACATCATCATGGCACTTTGTGTAAGATACACTGTGCTCCACTCGGCCCTAGCTGCTTGAGTTGGCGCATGAAGTGCCCCGACTTCAACATTGATATGTTCAATAAATTGTGGTGCGCCCTCTTGAACTGCAGTTTCCGCATTATTGACGCTTTGGCGGACCTGTGTATCTAAGTTTTTTAAGAGCACCGTACAGTTGACTGTCGTTTCTGGAACTGGAGTGCCGTATGCAACGAGAAGGGAGTGAAGCATGCCGAGGACATCACAAGCATCGTGTAGCGAGGGAAGAACTGAATTAGCTACCTTGAGAGTCTGGGTCAGCCTTACGTAATCGTTTACGTCTGCGGGTGCTATGGTCAAAGCTTCGTGCTGCTGCGCGAGCTTCTGTAAAAGTACATTTGTCCGCATGTTATACACATTAGGCCCGAAGAGCCGGGTGATATCGAGGCAATGCAGTGGGCTAGGTCTCAGAGCAGAGCACAGTTCTGACGAATCGACTAGAATGACTCCGACACACTGAGCCTCCGGGAGTGCTACAAACACAGCAGTCTCTGCCACGTAACGAGCAAAGAGACCCTCAAGTTCAGCAATGCTCAGTGTGAGACCATCTGAAAGTCCCATCTGTTGATTCAATTCCCCAGAGAAATTGTTTCTCATCTGCGTGGCTTCAAGTTGGGAGCTTCCGGAGGCGCCATCAGACCAGTTTAGAAAATGAGCATGCTCCCTCAGGGAGTCTACAAAACAATCAAAGCCACGAGAATATGCAACTGCATACATTGAGGCGTTATGAAGGCATGCAAAGGTACACTCAAGCATCATCTGAAAATTCGTGTCTAAAGAGAGGATATTACTCAAACTGAGACCGTTGTTAATATTCGCTTCTTCGTCTGCTGCAGTGACAAATGCAGAAAAGTCTCGGTCACAGAGCAGCCGAGGTGGGAGGGCAAGGATTCCAATCCCATCAGTAATTGTGCGTTCGATGCTTGCTCGCAGTTCCAGCCCAGATGGTCGAGGCATCAACACATCGCTCAGTGAGTTGAGCTTTAAAGAGACGCGAAAGAGTGGTGCCCTCTTGGACTGTAATACACCCCCCCTTGCTGAGACGTCTCTAGCCGGCATTGAGCCAACAATTGCTGTTGAGACGGCATTAGCAACTGCACGTTCGGATTTTGTCTCGGAAAAGACACGAAGAGCGACAGAAGACGCCAACGCAACGTTTGGTTTTGACGCAGAGCGTGCTGCTCGTTCTCTGGCGGAAACCTCGCGGTACATACGGATTATGGATTCTGTATCAAGTGCTCGGTTCGCGTCTAGGCATGCATTCATTACCTCGGAGACAGACAGTGTTGCGATTTTCAAATATGTTTCAGCGATCTGGAAGTCGACCAGACGAATGAATTTTACAAGTTTCTGGCAGTGAGCCCTCATAGCAGCACGTTGAGTATAACCGCCGCCCGAGGAAATCAGGCCAAAGCCACAATCTTCAAGGAAATCAGCTAACGACTTCCTGCAGCACTGCAAGACAAGTTTATGCACAATAGCCATATACTCAGCCAGTTGTGTTTCAACATGAAGCCTCTTCCTACCCTGGCGCTCGCAAAAATCAGTTAATGTATCAGTAGGGTCCAGTGACTCGATCTCGAACAGGCGGAAATTCCAAATCTGGCGACAAATCGACCGCAATTGGAGCAGACAGTCCCCGTGGGTCGGATGTAAAAGGAACAACTCATGCTGCAAGCTTCTTTTACAACGACTCAACTTTCGCATTTTGGTAATTTTCCGCCATGCCACAAATGAGCGCCATTTAGGAAAACGCTGAAAGAAAGGTATTGCCTTTAGTGCAACATAGAGACACGCCTGTCGTGAGTGCTCATCTCGTGTTACGAACTCTGCCGCACCGTTCCTTTGCCGGTGGGTCAGTCCTACCGACGAAGATAGATAAAAATCGTCTTTTGCAGCCTCATAGCGCACATTACAAAGGGCATATGGATTCGACGGAGACGCCACGCAGTATTCATAAGTATTCGCTCGTGGACCCTCTCGCATGTCACTCAAGCTAGTGTCAATCGTACTCCTGTTTCGGATTTTTTTAAGCGGTGTAACAGTTTTGTCCAAGGAACGCGAAGTAGACACCAACTGGATAGCCCTTGTTGTACGTGCGCCGAATCGCCGAAGAGTGCGCGATCCACCACCCGTCGGTACTTGATCAGAGACAATGCGTTGCAATGACGTATTTGCACCTTCCGGTTTGCTGAGTTGAGGCACGAGCACGAGGCGATGTGAAAGGTTTGTTGAACATGACTTGTGAGCCACGTTGCTGGAAGCCACTGCACGCGAGTGGTCCATCGGTTTTGACAATATTAAGGATGATATAAGATATAGAATGATATAGGATAATAATAATAATATTAGGGATATAGAATGATATAGTTGGGATTAGGAGCCGGGTGTGCCTTAAACATGGGCTCCACCCAGCTCGGGGACTAGCCTAGTCTAGGGCCCTCAGGAGAAGAACAGGGCCGGCTGGATAGGAGCATATTTTCCTGGGGTGCGCACCAGGCGCACAATAATAGAAGAGGATGTCAGACGATAACTCGTACTCGAGTACGAGATATATCTTCTGGGATAATTAATATTTCTATGGCGCGCGCCAGCCCTATGGTCGTTTCCATCACTCAATGACTAAGAATAAAACGTCACATTCTATATCATTCCTCGACATCATCTGCGCCGATGACCTAGCTAGTATGAGAGGTACGCATCATACGATCCAGTCTGACTCAAAGGGATTACAATGACCATATCTGTTTCGCAAGTGAAGCGTGATGCAAGAAGTCTCGCGTCTTTAGTCGACGAACAGCTCTCTGCCTGTCGCGCTTTGAGGTCGGACGCTACGGTGCAGAAGGTTCTGAGCGAGAATCATACGACGTCTACACAGACTATACACAAACAGTGTGCATATCTCTTGCTTACGCTGAAGTCTGACATTCGAGAGCTTCATCAAAAAATTGCGTTCGCCACTGATGCATCTCCAGCAGACGTCTTTCGACGCACACGCCAACTCGAAGAGAACATTCGGCAAGCAGGGCGATCCAACGACACGACGACAAATCTCTTAGGAGTCATGAGGCTTCTTGAATTGAAAGAGTCGATGAGTGTTGATATTTTATCTAAGTTGCTTAATGAAAAAAAAGCATTTGATGAAGAGTCCCTACATCACGAGAAGAGTCCATTAATTCAGACTGGCTACATCACATCAGAGATACTACAAATATTGCAGGTATGGCATTGTTTCAGATGATTCGGTTGCAACACATGGGAATGCTATCTCACATAGTTTTGAAAGCATAGAGTGCTCGAATCGCGTCTTGAGAGATATTTTGACCTCCCCATTTGGGTACCCGCAGGCATCACTCTTCAACTGAAACACGAATGTCACTGCGACTCTACTCTCAGTTCATTATTCTCCAGCGCGTCCTTGCCTCACTGCTTTCACTGGGAACAAAAGACAAAAACGGCCAAATTGTTGCAATCAATATGGTATGCAATCACGAATTTGCATCTAGCAAGTGCTATCTGCAGGTACAAAAAGAAAAGATGGCGCTGGAATCAGAACTTGCTCGCATTTACGAAATAAACGCCGCCCTGCGGTCAGACAACGACGAGCTAGTCAATGCAGAGATGAAAAAGTCTTTGCACTCGCAAGTGCCTGTGCATCTGCGGCGATACATTTGTGCAATAGTCGAATTTTAAAACAGGCGGCAGCGCATGAAATTGGAAGAACGCGAAGTGATGATTCGTAAAATAACATTACAGTGCGAAGAGCTACAGCGTGAAAACAACAGGATTCTTATTGAGAATGGTCGTCTGGTGGATGTCGTATCAGCATTGGAGACTTCCCTGATTGAGGTCAGGGCTCACGCTGCTCGTGAGATGGATTTTTTTGCACCTCGGATTCAGGAGCTTGAGTCGAGGACTGGAGGCCTCACAAGCAAGGTTGAAAAGCTCGCCTTGGATATTGAAATGATGTCTGGTCTTGTATGGCACCACGTCCTGGAAGTTTGTAATGTTGTAAGTCGATTGCACATAGGTTCAGAAGCATCTTAATCTGGCGACAGAGCTATCATTACAAATAAAATTGAAGGCACAGTCGGATGGGAGATTGTCTACAGACTTGCAGGCGGCCCGGTCAGAGCTCGATAAGATGTCGCAGCTTGCAATGCGACGCGGTCATATCGCATCTATTGCTATGGTTGCGAGGCGTACCACTCAATCTAAGAGCAAGCAAATTTTGGGGGAAATCGAGAATTTGGCAATAAAGATGAGTAACCTACAGATGCAGAGCGATGCAAAACAAGCCATACTGGATGTCTACTACAACCAAACCTTACAGTGAGTTGTCTACTTGGGGTTTAGTTGCCCAGTTTTTCGTGCAGGCTCAACGAGGAAATAAAAACAAGACACGAGCGAGAACGATTCTGGAAATGTGAGTCTGCGAAGATCCAGGCCGAGTACGATGAGCACAGTGTCGAGTTCGAGTCACTAAATCGACGATTTGCTGCAATGTTTGAGAACGGTATGACAGCAGAGAAGGAACATGAGTTCGTCGCTATGCGATCCGATCTTGAAAATACTAGATCACATAATAAAGAACAGTATTATAAGATCCAAGAACTCGAAGCACGTATATTTGAGCTGGAACTCACTATGGGCTCTGTTGGCTCTGACGGCAAGAAAATCGACCGTAATGCCACAAAAACTTGACGCTAAATTCAAAGATCTGAGGCGACCCCACTATGCCACGTTGCTATCGGATGTGGGGATTTTCTATCTGCCTAGCTTGGACGGAACATGACACTGCACTTATGTACCTTGGATTCGTAAGATGGACCTGAGGCAGACGGAAAACATGCACCTGACAGAGGATCCACATTGAGCCTCTCACAAGTACATTCCCACTGGGCTCTGGGCTGACTCTGGGTCGTAGTCTGGGTAGGGGCTCGCCCCGCTTAGCTCTACTTGCAAGGCCTACTCACCTCGCTTAGCTCTACTTGCAAGGCCTACTCGCCTGCCTATCCCCCCCTTTATATTGAAGCTGTTACATTCATTAGCGTAAGTTTAGCGTATGCACGTAGCTTGCACGATCAACTATAATTTAGGGCCGGTCCCCTGATCCCGGCCCCTCCTCGTAGCTTCTAGCGAACGCGACTGGCTCTGACCACGGTCGACCCCCCCCAGAAGTACGAAACAATTGCTAACGATACCGGGTGGTCCCGGGGGCGGTCACGACGCGTCCGCCCCAGTCCGGGGACGTCCGCGAGGGACGGCGTCGGCCAGGGGCTCGGATGGGACGGCGTCGGTGGTGTGGCGCGCGCGCGCGAAACGACGCCCGCGGGCGAAACGCGCGCGAAAAGCGGACTCAGCGCGCCGCCGCGGTCGTGATCGCGCGCTCGGCGGCCGAGGGAT